ATACATACAGTGGGGCCTTGACTTACGAGTGTCCCGACTAACGAGTTTTTTGAGATACCAGCTGTCTCTCGGCTGATTTTTTGCATTGAGTTGATAGAGTAATTTGAGTTAACGAGCTCCTTAACGAGCTCGGTCTCGGAACGAATTAAACTCGTAAGTCAAGGCCCCACTGTGTGTGTGTGTATGTATATGCATATATATATATATATATTTTTTTTTTTTTTAAGAATCACCTGAATAAATTTGTCTTCTCTGAAAATAGCGGTTAAAACATCAAAACCTGTCATTCATTGAGAAGAATTAAATAATAAATGTCACGTAGTTTCCTGCTTATGTGGGAAACAAAACTCTTTCTGGCAGATTGACATACTTCTGTCAGACGAGTTTTTTCCCTTTCACTTGTTTCAACGGAAAGTGCTATGACTGTCCTCATCTTAGGCTTATGGCAGAGCTCCCTATTTTGGGGGTCCACCTGTGCAGGCATGATTGTATATGTTTGGGGGTTGAGGTGTAAAATGACATACTTCTAAATCTTTTGTTGGAAGCTCAGTTACCAGGGGGCTTGCTTTAGAAGGGCACCTCTCAAGTTTGCATTTCTGAGGCTACTCACCGATCCTGGACTGTTAAGTGTTCGATTTTTTTTTTTTGACAGAAAGGAAGAGTTGCTAAAAGGGATCTACGCCATGGGGTTCAATCGACCATCCAAAATCCAAGAGATGGCGCTCCCTATGATGCTGGCACACCCGTGAGTCTCCGGGTGCCGTGTTCCCGCCGGGTCACTGTTAGTCTCTGATAGTCAGTCTGTGCCCAGCGGTCTCCTCTTTCCTACAGACCCCAGAACCTCATAGCCCAGAGCCAGTCTGGAACAGGAAAGACAGCTGCCTTTGTCTTGGCCATGCTGAGCAGGGTCGACACCTCGGAACCCTTCCCACAGGTAAGGAGAGGCTGCGAGAGAGACGGGATTGCTTTCGTTGTCAACGAGATTTCAGTAACAGACGGTATTGCTGCAACGAGATGATACTGAGAATAGACATTCTTTCATAACATTGTAGAGTATTGGGACAGCGATTGAGAGCACAGGCTTTGTAGTTTGTTTCCAATCCCAGCCTCTCTCCTTACCAGCTGAATGTCTTAGACGAGGTAGCACATCTCTCCGAGTCTGTCTCGTCTGTGAAGGTAACATCTAGAAAGGCCTGGATTGTAGTTGTTCTGTTCACCCTGAATCCCAACACCATGCACAGCGCCTGGCTCGGAGAAACCACTCATTAAACACCGAATGAGTGAGCGAATGAGTGAGTGAATGAGTGAATGAATGAATGGATGAACAAATGAGTGAATGAATGAATGGATGAATGAATGAGTGAATGAATGGATGAAGACTCACCTCACAGGATCGTCCTGCAGATTAAATGAATAGTTGCATTTTTAGCACCGTGCTTGGTAGGAGGTGAGTATTCTGCCAGGGATGTAGTCAGATCCAGCAGGGAACGTTCTGGAAAGTGGCAGAATTTTCACAGCTGGCAGGCGGCGATGAGGACCCCACGCCAGCTGTGATTTGTTGTGTCACCCTCTTTTTTGATTGCCAGCCTCCTTTCATTCCATTCTCCCCCCACCAAAAAAGTGTGACCCCGCAGCCCGTGTGTCTTCATGACCCTTCAGGGAGGGGGACCTTAAAAGCAGCTGTCTTTCCCTCCTTCCACTCCTTCTCCCCTCCCACACTCAGCACTCACCTCACATCGTTGAGCCGCTAAATTGGATTCGATTCAAAATATTTGTATCCAACCCAAACCTCCAGTTTCACTTCTGTGCCCCTCTCGGTACACATTTCAATTGTGTGTGAAATTTGCGCGACGGCTTACAGGGACCCCCTTCGCTCTCCCTCACAGTGCCTCTGCCTGGCTCCTACGTACGAATTGGCTCTGCAGACTGGCCGTGTGGTTGAACAGATGGGAAAGTTCTGTGTGGATGTTCAAGTGATGTACGCCATTCGAGGGAACCCAAGTATGTGCCTTGAAGCCGGTCTTGGCCGGTGGTGTCAGCCCCGAGTCCACCGCTAACCAGCATGTTCTATAACGTCTCTGCTTCCGTATCTCTAAAGTGGGGCCTGAGAGGCACCTGCTCACCGGGCCGGTGTCAGAGTGAAGCGCAGGGATATGGACAAAGCGCTGTGCACACGCCTGGCGCCCGAGGACCCTCGTGGCCACCGTTTCCGCCTCCTGCAGGAGGACGCGTTTGCATTTTCTTTTCTCTGACGCTCACCTGTTGGGCGCAGGGCAGCTTTTACTGTTTAACTTTTTCATTAGAGTATTGCATGTGGGTAAGCAGGAAAAATACCTTTAAGACACAGATGAGGCCAGGGGTCCTCAAACTTTTTAAACAGGGGGCCAGTTCACTGTCCCTCAGACCCTTGGAGGGCCGGACTATAGTTTAAAAAAAAACTATGAACAAATTCCTATGCACACTGCACATATCTTATTTTGAAGTAAAAAAAACAAAACGGGAACAAATACAATATTTGTATTTGCATGTGGCCCGTGGGCCGTAGTTTGAGGACCCCTGGATTAGGCGGTGAAAGTGAAAGTTGTTCTTCCTTGTTCCCCAAAACTTGCTTCCAAAGGGAACTACAGTTCTGTTAACAGTCCTTTGTGGTGGTTTTCTTAATATATTTTTATTGATTTGAGAGAGGGAAAGAGAGAGAGAGAGAGAGAGAGAGAGAGAGAGAGAGAGAAACATCAATGATGAGAGAGAATCACTGATCAGCTGCCTCCTATACGCCCTCTATTGGGGAGCGAGCCGCAACCTGGGCCTGTGCCCTGACCGGGAATCGAACCGTGACCTCCTGGTTCATAGATTGATGCTCAACCATGGAGCCACACCAGCCGGGCAATCGACCTATGTTTTGTGCTTTTTTTTTAGAGTGTTTACAAAAACCGGGATTTTTTTTCATAACGGTCACACACTTCCATGTTTTGGGCATCTTTCCACATCAGTCCATGTCGCCCTACTTCATGCTTTTGACCAGCTGCATAATACGTGATCATTTATTACACGTGACCTGCTGATAGACAGGGTGGTGGTTTTCCATGCGGGGAGGGTGCGTGGGGTTTTCACAGCTGTGCCAGTATTTCTGCAGGGTGGGTGGGCTTGCTGCCGGTGGCTTTTTAAATGAGTCAGATACGCAGGGTATTGTCATTGCCGTAAAACTCGGGAACGTATTTAAAAATTCTGGGCATTTTGAAAGCACAGTGACCTCAGGGCTCGTGCTCGGACAGCCCTGAGGCCAGTGACGGCGAACCTACGACACGCGTGTCAGAGGCGACACGCGAACTCATTCTTTTGGTTGATTTTTCTTTGTTAAATGGCATTTAAATATATAAAATAAATATCAAAAATAGAAGTCTTTGTTTTACTATGGTTGCAAAGATCAAAAAATTTCTGTATGTGACACGGCACCAGAGTTAAGTTAGGGTTTTTCAAAATGCTGACACGCCGAGCTCAAAAGGTTTGCCATCACTGCCTTAGGCAATGCACGTGGGGTCAGAGTCCTGTGTGGCCTCCCTCTGAAGGAGCCCTGCAAACCCTCCTCTCCCAGTTCCCAGGAGCGTGGACATCACCCAGCAGATTATCATCGGCACTCCGGGGACTGTCCTGGATTGGTACTTCAAGCGGAAATTAATTGACTTGAGCAAGATCCGTGTGTTTGTCCTGGACGAAGCAGACGTGATGATCGCCACACAAGGGTTCTCAGATCAGAGCATTCGGATCCAGAGGTAATCCGCACCTCCACCCTCCCTCCCTGCGTCTTTTGTCCGGAGGAGAAACTGCCTCTGTCTGCTGCTCCTGTTTGGCTTACTGCTCAGTTCCCCACCTCCTTCACCTTCGAACAAAGTCCCCGCCTCCTCAGGGCCCTCCGACCGCTGTCGTTTCCCACCTTCCTTCCCAACTGCTCTCCTTGTGCGCCCTGGGCTTACGTTATAGATCAATCCATAGACAGGGTTTTGCTCCAGAATTTGCCAGTAATTTTTTTTTTAATTGGGAGCAAAGTCCTAAAGAGAATTTGTTGAAATCTGATAGAGCTACTGGAAGGTTGTGGTGGGCAGGTAAGGGCATAGAGAAGACATAACTGGGATCGGGAGCCTAGTAGTCTAGTTCCGACTTTGCCCGTAATGTCTGCGCTCTTCCTGCTGCAAACGCAGTTAGTCGTGGCCGCTGCTCTTTCGCTGCTGAGAGCTGGAGGCCCTGCATGGATAGAAAGCACGTGTAAATTTTGCTCTCGAGCCCAGCTGGTGTGGCTCAGTGGTAGAGCATTGACCTGCACCAAGAGGTCACTGGTTTGCTTCCCGGTCAAGGCACTTGCCCGGGTTGTGGGCTCTATCCCGGGCTGGGGAGGCGTGCAGGAGGCAGCCGATCGATGTTTCCCTTTCATCAGTGTTTCTATCTCTGTCTCCCTCTCCCTTCCTCTCTCTCTAAAAAAAAAAAAATCAATAAAAATATATTTTAAAAAATTTTTGCTCTTGAGCTTCATGCTCAGTCTACGTGGTTTTCCAAATTCTGGGTGGCAAGGAGGAGCAGGACGCGTTGCTCTGTGCGTGGAGGTGCCGCTGGCTGTAGGCACACCTGTACGTTGACCCCCTGAGCAGGTGTGGAGGGGGGGCGACGCTGGTGGCAGCAGGCACGAAGCGCTCAGAGCTGCCTCCCTGGGTGAGTAGCACGGGTGGCAGGTCACAGCCTCCTTCCCGTCCCTCTCACAGGGCTCTATCCTCCGAGTGCCAGATGCTCCTCTTCTCGGCCACCTTTGAGGACTCCGTGTGGCAGTTTGCGGGGCGAATCATTCCCGACCCCAATGTTATCAAGTTGCGGAAAGAGGAGCTGACCCTGAACAACATCCGGCAGTACTACGTGCTGTGCGAGAGCCGGAAGGACAAGTACCAGGCGCTGTGCAACATCTACGGCGGCATCACCATCGGCCAGGCCATCATCTTCTGCCAGGTGCCTGCCCAGACGTCTTCCGGGGCCCCGCCTCCTCCCTGCAGGCCGAGCGGGCACGGCGGCGCCCAGAGTGCGGTGTAGCCAGGCTCCATACTCGGCACTTCCTGTACATGGTGTAGTTCAGTGTCCAGAGCAGCTCTGAGTAGAGATGATGTGTATTTTGTGGGTGGAGCTGAGGAAGAATAAGTAAGGGGGTGGGACTTCTGTATGTTACAGCGAGGGCATCCTGTGTTAGCGGGGTGGCTTCTGCCCCTCCCCCATGTGGGCTGATGTTGATGGTGGGGTTTTCCCCAGACACCCTTTGCCAGATTAAGAATGTTCTCCTCCCTCCCTAGCGTGCTGTGAGCGAAGCAGCCACTCAGCTCCTCACTGCTCACATTGCCCGCCTTCTGTCTTCATTTTTATCTTTTGCTCCCTGACATCCCCAGTGTGCGTGTGTTCGTTTTACTTCCTCACTCCCACGTGGACACTGAGCCCCATGACAGCAGGGCCCCATCTGTCTTGCTCCCCTAGCCCTGCCCTAGAGTGCTCACCAGGCCCTGGCCCACACTGAGGGCGCGTTTGTAGGATAAAGGAAAACCCAGCTCTGCCACGGGCCAACCATGAACCTAGGGCAGGGTCCTCATGTCTTCAAGGTTGTTGTTTTTTTTTTAATTTTTTTAAATATATATTTTATTGATTTTTTACAGAGAGGAAGGGAGAGGGATAGAGAGTTAGAAACATCGATGAGAGAGAAACATCGATCAGCCGCCTCCTGCACACCTCCCACTGGGGATGTGCCCGCAACCAACGTACATGCCCTTGACCGGAATCAAACCCGGGACCTTTCAGTCTGCAGGCTGACGTTCCATCCACTGAGCCAAACCGGCTACGGCATTTTTTTTTAATTTTTAAAAATGAAATTAGACAACTACTTTGTCAGATTATTGCGTGTAAAATTTTTATTTTATTTTAAAATAGATTTTTATTGATTTCAGAGAGGAAAGGAGAGGGAGAGAGAGAGAGAGAAACACCAATGATGAGAATCCTCCATTGGCTGCCTCCTGCACGCCCCCT